ACTCTCCCTTCCCCTGCAGGCCTCTTCAAACTCATTCAGTAGTTGACTTTGTTATTAACAATAACACTACCATCATTTCATCAGTACTATTACCACCATCTTGCAACTACAACTTCTTTGCACCTTATCTACCTATTTATCTTTTTGTATTTTTTCTACCTAAGTATTTTATTCTATTGTTGTATTTTATTGTATTTAAATGGACCTGGCTGCTATGACGACCCAATTTCCCTTTGGGGATTAATAAAGTCTATCTATCTATCTATCTATCTATCTATCTATCTATCTATCTATCTATCTATCTATCTATCTATCTATCTATCTATCTATCTATCTATCTATCTATCTATCTATCTATCTATCTCTGAGCTGTTTTATGCAAACACATTATTAAACACAGTGGCATTTCTCCTCACTGGACTCAGTGCTTTAGCATTTATGACATAGACATGTAAACATATCTTGAAAGCACTTGTGTGCTTGTGTGTGTATATGTGTGTTTACTAATGTATTCTGTGTTAAGTAATATAACTAGTGTGTATGAACAGAGTCAGATACAGGTAATACAAAGATCAACCTGAGAGTGGGAAAGTATGGTGGAGTGTTGTTTCAGTATAATTTCAAACACAAACTCAACATTCTCCCAAGGCTTTTAGTTTGACAATGAACACTGACAATGGCATACACCACAGGCTCCTAACACTCATTTCTTTGCAAGTAAACTTAAGATTAGATAATAGTTGTAATAAAACGTTTACGTAACACACAGATATATCTACACAAACTAAATTAAGCCTTACTGGCTATTTCTTAGCCAAAGTAAACTCTGGGGGTGTATGTGAGGCAGATTTGCCTTTATGTCTGAATCATAGAGTCAGTAACGTAGAGGAGATATCATTCATTTGTGGACCAGCCTCTAATCCCTGCCCATTCTTCTCCTGAACACATAAAACCCTTGACATGAAAGACTACAATACCATTTATGTAATTAAGCAAGATCGTCCCAGAGATCACCAGAGCAGTATTGGACTAAAGTTTCCTGGCTTATGTTCACCATGGTGCAGTTGAGATGGCTGTGGACTTTAGTGATGGCTTTTTCAGGTAAGAAATACTTGTGCATTAATAGACTGTTGGAAGAATGAGACAGGCCTTGTGGCTTGTAGCAGGGCTGCTGTTATCTGTATCCTTTTATAACTCATCAGAGAAAGTTTGATGTTCTGCTGAAGGAGACATTAGAGAGGCAAAAATGTATCCTGAACTGCTCAATTTTGAACAATCAGGTCTTGTTTCAGACTACTAAAACACCCAAAATACACATCCACGTTGATTTTACCTTACTTTTATGTTTGCATTTGTAAATTTCTCCAAAATTCATTAAAAGTTAGTAATAGATAGTGCCTCATTTGCATATTTAAACATTACACTTCAGAAAACTTGTAAAACAAAAAATAATAATCTTAAACTAAGTATTCAACTGGGGAGGTTATATATATATATTATATATAATATATTCTATATTATAATATATATTCGTTTTTTACCCAATTCACCTCTAGTGTAAAAGGTATGGAATTTTAAAAAACCTAATATCCACTTCAGTCACATTTACGTCCACCAAACTCTTCAGGTTTATTCCTATCTATATGCAGAAGGTTTACAGAGGGGTTTGTTTATATATCATTCATAACCTGATTTATATCACATTACATTCCTACAAAAATGACAAAAATTGATTATCTTTTATGGCAGTCTTTTCTCATTTATGGAGTGATTTAAAGAGATATTAAATTTACTCTGTAAAAACCGTTGACTCTAATATATCAATACTTTATATCTACTCTTGACTTCGTAAAGACTACTCAGAATTGCTATTTCAAATAAGGTGAAATATACACTGTGTGTAGTGTCTCCACTCATTCTCTACAATTTTCTTAAACACTGATCTGGTTCTCTAAATTAAGACATCTGTAATGAAAATGTGAACATTTGGCAACAGATTTTAAATGCCAGGATCTAAGTGGCAATATAAACATGCAGGTGTGAGTCATATCTGAATAGCCTATCAGAGGCCCAATTTTAATGGTATCGGTTTTTGGTGAAACAATCTCACCCCAGGGTCCATATAGTGGTTGTTCTAGAGCTTTCAGTCACAGCACACAATCTTCCTCAGCCAATGGAGTTGCCATGGAACATTCTTTTTAGCACATTAAGAATTTTTCCATTTTGGGTTAAACATTGAGACTGAAAGGTCATTACTGACCTTTCCATTTTAGTGAATCTTCCTATTTTGATATTTGATTGCTATATTTCGGAATAAATAGTCCATGCTGCCCTCTCCATGCTCTTTGAAGATAGAATACATGACAGTGCCACTCAAATTCAAGACAATCTGACAACTCTGACTGAGGAACCTGTAATGTTGGAAGAAATGGAGCCGCAGGTGCAAGAAAAGGTTGAGAAACACTGCAGTCCTCCTGTTTTTAAAAATGAATGCATAAGAACATCATTTAAATGCAGATAGTGTTTTTGACAATGGTATGAAAGTCTTTCATTTGTCCAATAATAGTTCTGAGGGTGCAAGGGGGTGGCTATATACAGGGCTTGGAAGTGACAAATCCGATTGAAAACATTAATGTGTGAATGATATTGTGGATAATAGATAATATGTCTTATTGAAACCTGCAGGGCTTCTGACAGTTCATTCTCTGGGCCTGCATGACTTTCTCAGTGCAGAGCAACTCAGCTCGACTCCACCGACGGCCTACTCTTTGCCAATGGAGATCACCAACAAAGTCTTCACCGACGCACTGCTCGACAAAACATCCCTGGAATATAAGACCTTGTATAAAGAAGTCAGTGACTTGGTAAGATGACTGACAATAGATGATGATTAGCACTTGTAGAAGACTGTTTTGTCACAGTGTCAGGAGGACTGGTGCTTTTCACAGCAACGGGCAAGCTAGCCACCTATTGGCCAGGATTGCTTTGTGGTTTGAGTTTTACAAAGTAAATAAAATAAAGGTAATCCAGCTGCAGTTAGTACACAAGGTAGGCCCAGTAGTATATATGTGCTCAACATTGCATATAATACATGCTGTCAATATACTGCTGCAGGGATGATGTCATTTTGTAGGTCAATCCAGATGTTAGCATCGCCCTGGTTCCTTTGACAAAAAGCCAATGGGACTTTTCCACTGAATTGTTGAATAAAATAATCTCTGTGGTGAACAAAGGTTTACCATACTTAGACGTTTTGTTCACAAATGAACAAAATGATTTTTGAAGCGTAAATGCGATCAGCAGAAGTAAAACACTAATGGTAGGCTATAAATGAATGAGATCACCATCGCGTGACTTCAACGTCACCAGCACTGAACTAAACATCCAACATAAAATCTCAAGTTATAACATCCGAGTTAGAATAGTTTGCAAGAGCGTAAGTACAAACAGAACGAGGCTGTAAAGGCGGACTAGTGAGTAGATCAGTCTGTGTTCAGCGTCTCGTTTAGCCACTTGTTAGCAACCGCCTTTTTTAAGACGCACAAAAGCTTCAAATTCACAGGTGGGGTATCTACTAATATATTTTATGTCGTGGAACAAAACATGAAAATTTCCTAAGCTTGTGTTAACCACAGACCTTATTTCAGCCATCTAAGCAAAAACCCATTAAAAAACCCACTGACTTTGAGTAGAGGCAACCGGACGTACTAAAATGCTAACTCATTTCCTTGTTTTAGGACTGCTGCATTCTATTGTCACTGTGATTTTACCTCTATTTAAAATTTTCTAACTTTTTTGTTCTTTTTTTCAGCTTCAAGGCATCTATGACTGCTCTGACAGCAGTATATGTCCCACAAATCAGTACTATCAAGGTGTTGAGGAAATAAATTTCAGGTATCATCATTTTTGTGCAGCTGTTCAGTGTTAAATATTAAATTATATAATATTTTTGTTTAATAAAAGAGTTAAAATGATTATTAGATCAGAATATCAGAATTTATGAATATAATGTATAACTTCTTCTTCACTGTGCTTTCTTTCGCAGTTCAGGATCAGTAATTGCAAATACATATTTACTCTTCGAAGCCTTCACTGTCAATGCACCAATTGTCCGATATTACTTTATAAAAAATGCTGACAAAGTTGAACCCAAGATCCTCCAACTTAATCTGGACTACACAACGGGTAAGATCTCATTTTGTACTTGTAATTGAATTTGTTCCTCCTGAGTGACGTACATGTGTGCCTTGAAGTGATGGTCTACATATGTAATTTGTATGTCTTCTTTTTCTTTAGCTAACAAGGTAAAATTAGCTGTACTACCTACTACAACAGCCACAGCACCTACTCAACAACAACAACAACAACACCTACTACAACACCTACTACAACAACCACAACACCTACTACAACAACCACAACACCACCTACTACAACAACCACACCACCTACTACAACAACCACAACACCTACTACAACAACCACAACACCTACAACAACACCCACTACAACAACCACAACACCACCTACTACAACAACCACAACACCTACTACAACAACCACAACACCACCTACTACAACAACCACAACACCTACTACAACAACCACAACACCACCTACTACAACAACCACAACACCTACTACAACAACCACACACCACCTACTACAACAACCACACCACCTACTACAACAACCACACACCACCTACTACAACAACCACAACACCTACTACAACAACCACAACACCACCTACTACAACAACCACAATACCTACAACAACACCCACTACAACAACCACAACACCTACAACAACACCCACTACAACAACCACAACACCTACTACAACAACTAAAACACCTACAACAACCACAGCACCTACTACAACAACCACAACACCTACAACAACACCCACTACAACAGCACCTACTACAACAACCACAACACCTACAACAACACCCACTACAACAGCACCTACTACAACAACCACAACACCTACAGCAACACCCACTACAACAACCACAACACCTACAACAACACCCACTACAACAACCACAACACCTACTACAACAACTAAAACACCTACAACAACACCCACTACAACAGCACCTACTACAACAACCACAACACCTACAACAACACCTACAACAACTACAGCACCTACTACAACAACCACAACACCTACTATAACAACCACAACACCTACTATAATAACAACCACAACACCTACTACAACAACTACAACACCTACAACAACACCCACTACAACAACCACAACACCTACTACAACAACTAAAACACCTACAACAACCACAGCACCTACTACAACAACCACAACACCTACAACAACACCCACTACAACAGCACCTACTACAACAACCACAACACCTACAACAACACCTACAACAACTACAGCACCTACTACAACAACCACAACACCTACTATAACAACCACAACACCTACTATAATAACAACCACAACACCTACTACAACAACTACAACACCTACAACAACCACAGCACCTACTACAACAACCACAACACCTACAACAACCACAACACTTACTACAACAACAACACCTACAACAACCACAACACCTACTACAACAACAACACCTACAACAACCACAACACCTGCTACAAGAACAACAACACCTACAACAACCACAACACCTGCTACAAGAACAACAACACCTACTAAAACAACAACACCTACAACACCCACAACCCCTAGGACAACAACCACAACACCTATGACAACTACAACACCCACAACTACAACTCCCATAACACCCACAACTACTACAACCACAGTTAAAACTAACATAAAAACAGAACCAACAACTACCTCAACAAACACTACAACCTCAACAACACCCACAAATACTATAACCAGGACAAGCGCAACACCTGCAACTAGCACTGCACCCAAAACTCAGGCAGTCACCTCTACTTCTACTGCAGTCCAAGATGCTAAAACAACATCTTCAAGCAAAACAAACTCTTCTGATGACAGCATAGTGGTTCAAACCACCAAGACAAATCATGGGAACCACAGTGACATTCCCACAACAGATGGCAGAGAAAGCCCAGTAGTGACCAACACTACAACTGTAAATCCAAATGACAAACACACAGATTCTCATGGCGTTTCAACTGGAACTGGAAAGCCCGCTGACCCCCTGACATCAGGTGGCAGCAGAAGCAGCAGTAGCAGCAGCAGCAGCAGCAGCAGCAGCAGCAGCAGCAGCAGCAGCAGCAGCAGCAGCAGGGAACAGCAACGGGAACAGCAACGGGAACAGCAGCAGCAACGGGGTACCTGGATGGGGTATTGCCCTCTTAGTATTAGCTGCTGCAATCTTGCTGCTACTCATAATCATCTTCATCATGATGGTGAGTCACCAAGCAGGTTTAATACAATATACTATTCATTCTGCAGTTTTAATTGCTCGGCTCTATATGATGTATTACAGTGCTTAATATGATGACGGCTGGGTTTAACTAAACTCCTGTGTATTACGCACATCCACATTTTTTTTTCTTTGAATAGACCTTACTCATGGCAATCAAACACTGGTATAACTAATATGGCTGCATACCTTCAAGGTGCGTGTGCGTTAAGGAGTGCCAGGGGCCTGCCTGGTATTGTGAATGATGACTCACTGGAACAGAGCCATAATTAAGAAGAGATAAGAGAGACTTTATTGTAATCCATTTGTATACAGAGCAGTAGCCTACAGTAAATAGAGGAATGAAATTAGTAAATTTGTTTGTCATGTTGAGCTTGGGGGCAGCAGGGTATTAAGGAGTCTGACTGCCTGAAGGAAGGAGCTGTTGCTGAGTCTGGAGTATCTTGCCCTGATGCTCCAGTTCCTTTCTCCAGACGGCAGCAGGGTACAGAGTCCGTTGGAGGGGTCTTTTATGGTCCAGGAGACTCTGTTTTTGCAGAGTTTGATGTAAATGTCATGGATGGAGGGGAGAGGTCCCAATAACTGACTCTGCTTACTTCACTATCCTGAGTTACTACAGTTACCCTACCAGACTGTGATGTCAAAGGCCTGTCCGATTCTGCCTATGATTGGCTAGTGTTCTTTGGTTGGTCAGGCTTAGGCACGAGGAGTGTGGTGGTTAGGGTTAGACAATAATGTCAGGTTTAGACTAATCAGAGGCAGAGCAGAATATAGCTGGATAGAAAACCCCAAAATAAGTAGGATAAGGGTTATGTTGTTGATAGGGTTGTGCTGAATTAGGATACAGGAACATTTTTGGTTCAGTTCAGGCACTGTTTCAAGCCATGCACTTGTGTCTAACCAAAATGGCTTGCACCAATCAGTTTCTTATGAAGAACTACTGGCAGCTATGGCATGAGCTACAGGTGTGGTTTAACACTAGGTCTGTGTGACAACACGAGTGAGAAGTGACTGTTCACTCGTAAACAACAATAGAGTGGTATTGTTGTTCGCTCTGCTTTCTGCTCTCTGAACATGTTTTGATGCTCTGTTGTTTCAGCTGGTTCGATGGTGTTGTAAGAAAACAGACAGCAGCCACATGGACACTACTGAGGATCCATATTACTCTGAAAAAAAGCAACCCCCCCAGGACCCTCTGCCAGTGTACACACCTCCAACCCCAGTGACAGAGAAACCAGGGTCAACCCCAGTCATTGTTGTAAGTACTGTGACTACTGACCTATGCAGTGTTTATATTTGGCGTATATATTTCTCACATATATACAGTATATATATATACCTTTGTATATGAAAATATACAGTTTCCATGCCTGTGATAATTGCTTGTTAAAGGTCTGACTTGTTTTTCATTAGGGGGACACACCCAGAAAGAACAAGACGGGGTTCTATGCAGTGAATCCCTGAGATTCTCTTGATGAACTCTTGCAACAGGTTGAGTAGTTACTTAACTCATCAGGTAGTTTGACCCAGGGGCCACCCATTGGTAAATTTTTTCCAAAAGGCAACATGTATAAAAAAATATATAAATAAATCAAAACACAAACTTAACTTTCTGTCTAAATGTCAGACTGAGTGGACTGAATTTAACAGAAAATGGTCAAACTTGTGATTAGTGGTAATAACACACTGATAGGATAGTTTACTGCACATTTTGGATGGAGGAGAGCAAAAATTATTTAGGAGGGATGGATGAGGGATGAGGGATGAGTGTGGGTTGACTGATTAAAGGATGAGGGTCAATAGATGAAGGACAGGGGATGAATGGTGAGGGAAGAAGGGGTGGGTGCCGATGGATGAATGGATGGGTGTCGAGGGATGAAGGGATGATGGGAAGAAGGGAGAGGGACGAAGGGGTAAGGAAAAGAAGGGTGAAGGATGAGGGTCAAGGGATGAGGGCTTAAAGGAATGAGGGTTGAAGGATGATGGGGTGAAGCGTGGGGGATGATGAGATGGGGTTAAGTGATGAAGGGAGGAGGGGAAAAATGTAGAGGGATAAAGGGAGGAGGGTCGAGGGATGAGGGGATGAAGGGTGAGACATGAAGATATGAGGATAGAGGGATGAAGAGATAAGGGAAAGAAGGGAGAGGGACAAGGGATGAGGGGATTATGGGTTAGGGATGAGGATAAGGGAAAGAAAGCATGAGAGTAGAGGGAATGATAAGAAAAAGAAGGGAGAGGGAGTTTGTGTTTTCATTACCTTAAAATTAGCCACTTTTATCTACAGAGGCGGAGTCCGCCATAATGAACCACCATGTATCTTTAGTTCTAGATTGGGCCTTCTGTATTTTTTGCTAGTTTTGTAGCCACTGTAGTTTCCCCACACACTTGGAACAGGAGGGTGAGGCAAGGGGGTTGTAATCTGCAAATACACAGCTAGATGCCACTAAATCTTACACACTGGACCATTCAGAATACAGGAGCTGTTCTCTGAGCAAGACGTGTTTCTCTTAAAAGTAGCGTGACAGCTCTGGCCCTGGCATGGTGTTTGCACTAGGTTAACCTTTTAACAATCAGCTTGATTTTTTATTAATGTTACCATTTGAATAGCAATCTAACAGGTTTAAATACACATAGATGAGTCACATACTATTCTCAGAGGCTTTATATTTAGTTCTGCTGGGAGGCCCAAGCCAGGCTCAATAGGAAGTCTGCTCTTTCGAACATGTTTTTTTAAAAATCTGTTTGATTTTTTACTGTATCTGTGAAGTCCTTCGATACTTTGATTGTCACTATCAGCTGAAAAACACATTTTTTTTTACATTTTTAAACATAAGTTGAAGGATTTCATGCTCATGATAATAACCACATCTCTGGAAATAGATGGGTTTCATATTGCCATATTTAAGTAAATTGCCCATATATGAAAATCTCCATATTTGGTCATATTTGCTTTTTCCGATAAGTTGAAGCAGTACATCCTAAATTCTTGAAATGTTCCTACCTATTTGACTCTCTGACTGAGAAACCCAGTGGATTATCACAAACATGCATTGTCACCAAAGCCAACACAAGGGTAGGTCCTGAAGAGTTGACAGGCGTTTTTATCTACAACAACACTGTAATAGATGGCTAAATAAATAAATACAGTTGAGTTTGAACTTCATGTGTTATAACTGTTAGTTATCTAATGGTGTGTTGTAATGCAGAGGGAGTCAAATGTCTCTGACCTCTCCCACTCTCTCAACAGTAGATCTCAATCATGGCTTACTCATTAGAAGATTTGTTTGACAGCGAGGAGGCTGAGCTTTGTGTGTTTCTGTATGAATGAGTTTATCAAATCATTCAGACAATAAAAGGCATGGTTTGGTCTAAATCTACTGTATGTATAAATGTAAGAACGTCATATTTAAGTCACACAATTCAACAAACAAGCTCAAATATCACTATGACTCACCATACTGCAAGCAGTTATGTCTAATTGAGGGCTGTAGGTTTTGAAGTTATACTGCTTGATTTTGCTATAGCTTCTACAATACTATGGTGTCGCTGATATGCTTGTAGGTTTCTGTTAAAGTCCTGATAACACATTGAAACAAACTCAGGTTACGAGTTAAACTACCAGTTTAATTCAGTGTGTAGTGTAAAATACTACTTTTTACCTACTACTGTTATAATGGTTAAAGCCTGATATAAAGATATAAATTATTGTTTAAAGTACTCTCCCATTCAATGCCTAAATGAATTGCATGGTTCTCAAGCAGTTATTGCAAACTGGTAATAAATGGAGCCAGGTTACATTACATTGTTGAGAAATTACTATCAAGAACATATAGTCTATGTTGTTCAAATGGAAAAGGAAAAATTTAAAAAAGTGAACTCATGAGCAAGATAGGTCATATTTTGGATTTATGTGTACTTTCCATTAGGACAAAGAGACTGAACTATTGTTTAAATTTACCAGCTTCATTCATTTTGATTTTAATATTAGTTGATTGTTGTTCAACACATTTGAGCACTGCAAAGTTCATTTTAAAACAGCTGAATTCTGCTTATAAGGGTTTCCAAACAGACCTGGTCCAGTATTCATCACACCCGCAGAATCCAATTTGTGCTTGTCCTTCCAGGCAGACTGCAGTGGGCAGAGTGAAGAAACAAGAACCCCATCAACAGTGAAGAGCCGCATGAATATTGTACAATAAATATCAAGAAATGTTATTTATACCATTTTTAAATTTTTGCCATATTTCAGTTCTTTTAACAACAGAATGCTGACGTTAAGAATAATATAAGTAAATATTGTATATACCAATATAGACTATGGTAACATTCTTTATCTGTATAACAATTACTTACTACAAAACAAAAATGAATGATGTGTCTCTGTATGATTTAAAAATAAATTCAAAGCTAAATATGAATGTAGTGCTGAATTGTTACCATATTTGTTACACATTTCAAATGTTTTTTCAATTGTATGTTAAATAATAAAGAAATCTTATTAAATCTATCTAAAATATGATTATAAGAACATTTTTTTTTAATCTTCATCCACATTTACATACAAAGGCACTTTTGATTTTTGCCCACATTAGTACCCTTACTTCTTAATGAGTACCGCCACAGCATGGCCGTACCCACCACTGAGGTGATCGAGGTATAGACCTCCGTATTATTTTTTCTGAGGGGTATACAATAAAAGTTGTGAAATAATTAAGTAAAGCTCCTAAACGCCTGCATAACTGTGTCTCTGTATAAATACAATTAGGTCAACGCTGAGAAAACAGCACTGCGCCAAAAGAATTAGGGTTATGGGTGTACTGAATTAGTGTACTGGCACCTATTTTGGCCCAGTTCAGGCACTCAAAGTACGTAGCCATAACAAAAGCACGCACTGCATCAGAGACAAAGACAGATTCAAAGTGCAAAGTTTAAAATCAGAATGAACACAAAATGGAAGTTCCTTGTAGCTGCTTTATAGTAGTATAGTAGTCTTGTAGTTCGATTGCAGATTGCAACCAACTAAAACCCCACAAAACTATGTCTCCCAACAGATCCTCTTTACAAAACCCTACATCTAATGGACAACCCACCTACATCACACTGTACACAAACACCATTAGATTTTTAGGATAATTATCTGATCAACATTTTACAAGTATCACAGCATGCATTGTTGCACCTGCTTTTTTGCACCCGTTTGTTTATTGCCTGCCAAAAAGCTTTGCATTGTCTGAAGGAAGGCTTAAATGGGTTATAATGCAACCAGAAAGTATCAGAACTCCGATATGTTTGCTAGAGTTTTGGCTCTCCATTCCAGCAAACTGAACTGAACAATACGTATGACGTTAAAGTTAAACTGGGAAGTCATCGTTTGAAACTGCAGGCACTTACAAAAATACCTGGCAGATGATTGGACTGGATTGGACTGTCAACATGATTCACTGTCAGACGAACCTTAACCCTAACCAATCAGATCATTGAACCATATAACGTAGTCAAACTCTTACTAAAGCCAGTCAGGAGAAACTTCAATGGAAAACACATATTGAAGTGCTGCTCTTTGTTCTTCTTTCAATGAAGAAACACTCTCCAGTTATGATGGAACTGATGCTAGCACCATCTACACTAACCTCTTTAGCAGGCGCCATTGTTGTTTAAGTCACTTCACACACATTGTCACACAGACCTAGCCTTAAACCGCAGCCATGGCTCCTGCCGTAGCTGCCAGTAGTTCCTCATAGAACGCTGATTGGTCTGAACCACTGTGGTTGGACACATAGCATAGCTTGAAGCCTGGCAAGATGGATTCTCGTGTGGTCCAGCTTTTGAATAGCCAAGCAGTGAAATGTTCTCCATTACCAAAGTCACCTGGGCTCAAACTAACTGATCATGTGTTTCACTGCTGAAGACCAGATTAATGGGAAAACACCCCCAAATAGTGAACCTGACAGAACATCAACAGGGAGGATACCAACACTCTTGGGTGAAAGACTTTAGACACTTCAAGGATTTACAATCACATATTAAGTAAGATGACTTCTTTTGAGTTTGAGACTTTATTTGAGAATAAATGTATGTCTGCAGCTTTTGGAGGACTATGTATTTAAAAAAGGCTACAATTCACTGTTTATACGATGCCTCAGTTTAGAGGGTATTTACATACCCATAGTCTTGTGTATGACCTAAACTGAACTTGGTTCTTCATCAGTCTTCACCAAATCCATTGACAAAAAACTAGCTGAAGTGAAAAGCTCCATCCTGCTTTAAGAAAAGGCAAATATTTGATGGTGATGCATTTCACAGGGTTATACAGGGATCTGTGACGCTAGCAGGCAAACACGTACCTGCTACTTATTGTCTAATTGTAACTATTGTCTAAATGGCATTGTAGTGCTACAGTGCTGGGCACAGCTCAGTGACTTATCAGAGCATGAACCACAATGATAAAATATTGAGAGTTGTGTATACAGTTAATCCCACTCTTTTTTTCCATGTTTGTTAAAGCAACATTTACTCAGAGCTGTTAATAGGAAGATTAATGGCTGCTGCATTGTCAGCAGAATAGACGGCAGAATGGAACAAACATAATGTCACTGTGAAAAGGCAACAACACAATGCAGGGTGTAACTAAATACAATGCTAATGTGGCCGCATGAATGTACCTTAACCACACACACACACGTGCATGCATGCACCAAAACACACACACACACAGCCTTTCAGTTTCATCTCAGGTTATTTATTCCCATTGTTTTCTTTCTTTTTCTAGCATCTGTCCATCTTTGCGCTGAAGTAACATCCCAGTATCTCGGTACAAGGTTATTGTTGACTTTGAGCAGGTTGGCTTCCTTTTTGACAGTCCAATAGACTGTGTATGTATATGTGATCTACAGGCATGTGTCTGTCTACTGGGAATGTAACCTGTGGATGTGATTTGCAAAAAAGAGGAAAAACAAAATGTAGAAAACAACTTAATTATTAAATCTTAATATATTTTCTATCCTTTATTTTGAAAAATGAAGATGTTCGACAGGGGCTCATTGTCCATAATTCTTCCTGTAAACAGTTACAGTTCAACATGGCAAATTCTTATTTTCTTATTATACACTAATGAGAGTATAGTTACGCACATTATATTGCATTTCTAACATATTCTGCCAAAAAAATCCCCTTAATTCTTACACACTGGTCCTTTAAGGCGCTCAAATACTGACATATTGTCAGTAAGAAACACAAAATGTCAGTAATGCTTCATCATATGACTTTGATTACAATAATTCCTGAACAACTGCAGCTTGTGCTCCTTTATACAGTGCAGCAACAACAGACTGATTAAAATGCAGTGTGAAGGCACACTGAAGTGAGACTCTGACCGTATGCTTAAATCCCGTATTCTCTACTATATCTGCAGCAATAAACACTCTATATCATTAGTTATTAATATGGTCTGAATCTGCAGTGAGAGGCTGCCTGAACGCTGTGGGGAGAAGGACTCGCCTTCCAGTCTGTTTCTGTCTGGTCGTAATCTGCCAAAATTTTCCAGGTAAAACTAGAAATTCTGTTTTGCAAAAAGCAGACATACAGTAAACAGATTATTTTGACAGTAACTGTTTAGGTCACAGGGCGCAATGAACTGAGGCAGTCACATAATGAACCAAACAAATACATGTACCTTTACACTAATGGCAACTTAAAAGCTGTTTTTATAACTGTAATGGTTTACAACTGATTTATTAATCTTATAAAACCTTTTTTAAAGGTCAAGAGTGTAGAATTTAGCGGCATCTAGCAGTGAAGTTTCAGATTGTAACAAACTGAACACACTGGACCTTTAAATGGTGCCTTATTGGAAAGGATGGAACCAAAATACCACAAATCTCCAGAATATCTTACCGAAGAGACTATATTTTGGATGAATCCATTGGAAAATAGATGCTGGAATTTTAACAGCCTTATTACACTCAATCAAGAAGATTATATTTCATAAAGAGAAAGAACCCTTAATGTGTTAGTGTATTATAAATGTGTTTTGGTTACCTGAATTGACTTTGGCAGGGCAAGTGGATGACCTACCCAGAGCAAACAAATGTCTTACAAGAAAAGCGTCACACAAATGCTATATTCGTGTCCAATTGACCAAGTGCTCTATTAAACAGTCATCATTATTCATTCAGTCTGATGATAGAGGCCATGTGAGAAGGGAGTGTCTATAGATTTGAATTGAATTAGAGTAGCACCATTAAATCCCTACGGTACACACAAGAACATGATTGGTCAGGAGAGAAACTTCCATTTGAATGCGTGCATCATCGTCCCTTAACTTACAAAATATTGATTCTGCTGTGGAGCTGACTTCCTATTCCTATTCCCATTTTTTGTATTTCCTTAATTTGGTCTCTATACTCACATGTTTATAAATTGTTTCTCATATTTACTGTACTTTGCTTGCATTTATGTTTAAATATGTCATATTGTAAATTTATAATGGTGTAATAGGGTACCTTGTAAATCCTATCAGCATATCTTAATAAAAGAAGTAAATTAACATAACTAAATCCTACAAAGTGCATTTAAATTTGCGCAATATTTTAAGTTTTGGTCATATAATCCCAGTTTGTTCCATTGACAAATTTTCTTTAAGCCCCCAAATTACTTGAAAATAGATCAACGGTAAATTTGCTTTATCATACATCAGCCATTTTGACAGGTAATAATAATAACAATAATAATAATAATTCAGGGGAAGTGGAGTAGATTCAGTCTGATTGGTAACATTTGTATAAAGAAGATGCATTATTACTTTACGTATTCTTTACTAATTAAGACACTTTATTCAAATAAATTCTGTAAGCACATTTTCAATTAGTTTGGAGAAATGCTGTATATGAGTGTACTTGCTAGTTTTAAGTACAATTAACTTAATTTACCTTTCCTTAACAATAAATGAGTTAGTTGTACTCAAAACAAATATTTTTTCATGCTTAAATTGTTTGAGTTCATAAACTTAAATGGTTTAAAGCAATCGGTTTACATCAGGTTTTACAGTGTAAGGTTCCTTGTGGGAAGGATTTTGTTAAAATATATCAAATTGTATTTCAACCTGTATTTCGTATAAGTTAATAAAAATACTCTATCGTATTAAATTAACCAGAGTGACAGAAAAATAATTCAAAATGTGTTGCTTCTTTTACTTTACTACTCTTTTTTTTTACC